ATTACTTTTGCAACTCTCCAAGATAGTTATTACAACCCTCGCAACCCTACAAGATAAGGTATTGCAAATATTTTTGTCCCCATTTTACAGATGAGGAAATGGAAGCTCAGAAACTTGCCCAGAGTCATACAGCTAAGAAGCATCAGAGCCATAGTTATAGTCTATGTCCAAGATCAGTACTCTTACCATGATGATTATACCCTACATAGGATCAATGAAAACTTTTGGTGTTATCATTGTTTCTAGATTTGGTGCTGGAAAACCAACAAAATAAGAAGAGAAGAATGAAACATTTGGGTTGACTATGTAAAACTCATATCAATTCATAATTTGGGTGAGCTGCATTCCATTTAAGTCTAATTACCATATAGCACAATAATGTTTATGAATCTTGTTCAACATGCATCAGATTAACTTTGCTGTAAACTTTCTTTGAATGCAGTCCATATAACTCAGCTTTCATAGTTTGTTTTGAAGCATAGTTCATTTGCTCAGAACTTTAAGAAGAAATTGGAGAGAATATTATTTTCATTCTTCTGCTTTTCTCTCCTTGGGAAGAACTGCAACTTTTCCAACTGCTCTGGAGTCATCTCTGCTTCCCTACCCCAACTGCTCTTCCTCTTCCACCCTGACAGATAAAGGAGAAAAAGCATTTTCTCAACGCCATCCTGAAGCTCTGAATCCAAGATAGACCACAGTGACCTGCGTGTGTATAAAGAACCTAAAAAACCAATGCTGAATAGTGTTTCTGAATAGTAAATCGGTTAACTGAATAGTAATTTGGTTAAATAAGTATAGCATATAAGAGACCTATTTCTAAAAGTGTGGGTTAAAGAGCTGGTGGCTGTGGAGTCAGGAAGATATGAGTTCAAGTTTAGCCTCTGACACACAATGGCTGTGTGATCCTAAGCAAGTTAGTCAGTAACAAGGATTTATTAAGCACTTACTGTCTTCCAGATACCACATTAAGGATAAAATGTGGATTAAAAAAAGGAGAGTATAGATAAAAGGAAAGGCAAGTGAGACAGTAGTAGCTCTTAAGGAGCTTACTTATTCCACTGGGGAAGAAAATATGGAAATGCGTAGTCACTTACCTTCTGAGTATCTCAGTGTAAGTTGCAGAGATGGTGATTACCTACATTGGTGAGGGAATTTCTTTACAAGGAGGCTCTCTAGTAAAATCACTGGTCTGGTTCTCCACCCCAGTCTATTTACACACACACACACACACACACACACACACACACACACACACACACACCCCATCACAGAGGATTTACAGATGGATTCTTTGCTTTCAAAGGATTTACATTTAGGTTCTTTTTACTTGTAAGTTCCCTAGCTCAGGGATGGGGTCAGAACTGTGATTTCCTTAGAATTCCTTCTTGAGTAAAATCCCTCTAGTAACATAGGCTTTTCTCTGAAATTTAGAGGCTTAGAGAGTTGTCCCTAAAGCTTGTTGTTGTTCAGTTGTTTCAGTCTTGTCTGACTCTTTGTGACCCCAGTTTGGGTTTTCTTAGCAAAAATAGTGGACTGGTTTGCCATTTCCTTCTCCAGCTTATTTTACAGATGAGGAAACTGAGGTAAGTGTCTGAGGCCAGATTTGAACTAAAGAAGATGAATCTTCCTGACTTTAGCTTGGGTGCTCTTTCCATGTACCATCTAGTAACCCTTAGCTGTGCCTAAAGCACTCAGAAGCTTAATGACTTGCGAAGGGTCACAGGGCCTGTATATTTCAAAGTTAGAACTTGAATCCAGATCTTCTTAACTCAGAGAACAGCTTCCTATCCACAGTGCCACAGCTGCTTCTCATGCTACTTGTGTTAACGGTGTATAAATGCAAAAGCTTCATCGGGAAGGGAATAGTTATGGGCTTTTCATGCATACTAAGGAAAATTTGGGCTAAGATGAAATCTTCACTTCTAATTGATCCGAGAAGGCATTTTGGTGGAAGTGGGGTTTCAGGAGTTTTCAGAAAGGAGAAACCAAGTATTCATCCATTCAGTCTGATCCTACAGTGGGTGGGGATGAGATTGACTGAGTTGCTTTTAAATCATGTGCATGTTGTTCAATGGTGTGCATATTAGTGGGATGGGAGAAGTCCCTGAAGTACATTCCCCAGAGTCACTTTCTTCTTGGCCTCCATTTCCAGCCTGGACTAGGTTGGGGCAATAGCTTAGGTCTTATAAGGTCAGTACTTTCTTCAATACCAATCTTCCTCACCTGCCTCCAAGCCGGCCACTTTGTTCAGACATCCCTGCCCTCAAACTGCAAACTGGCAGCTCAGGACAGGAATTTACTGGAATCTGCTTTGGCTTCTTCTGCTCCTTGGCTCTTAGTGCCACTTCCTGGAGAGGAGGGCAAGGGAGATATTTCCCCAAAGTGCCGAGAATAGTCATTCTGAGTATGAAATTAGAAAATGGAATGATACTTTGGCCAATATGGAAAATTTCCTCTCTATAACTGTGCCCAGCACAGCCAACTCTAAAACTACAGAGGCTCCAAGAGCTCTTCTCTTCTCTTCTCTTCTCTTCTCTTCTCTTCTCTTCTCTTCTCTTCTCTTCTCTTCTCTTCTCTTCTCTTCTCTTCTCTTCTCTTCTCTTCTCTTCTCTTCTCTTCTCTTCTCTTCTCTTCTCTTCTCTTCTCTTCTCTTCTCTTCTCTTCTCCTCTCTTCTCTTCTCTTCTCTTCTCTCCCCTCCCCTCCCCTTCCTTTCCCTTCCCTTCCCTTCTCTTCCCTTCTCTTCACTTCACTTCTCTTCTCTCCTTTCCTGTTCTTTCTTCTTCTCTTCTCTTCCCCATCTCTCTTTTCTTCCTTGTCTCTAATCTCTAGTGTCTCTTTCATTTCTCTCTTTTCTCTCTCTCCTTCCCTCCTCATCTCTTTCCCTTTTCTGTCTCCTTTCTGTTTTCCATTCTTCTCCTACCCCTGTCCTTCCTTCAAAAAGAAAAAGATTAAAAAGGAAAATATAATGGGATTTAGGAAGAGGATGGGGAGGGAGGAAACCAAGTGTGTTCTTTGGGCACCCTGCCAGTCAAGGGGATGCCATTAATGCACTGATTCTCAGAGTTCTCTAATAGGCAGGAAGACCACTTCAGTTGGGAAAAGACAGTGCTCTCCCTGAATGGGTCCAACTTACTACTGTAATAATGAACTTTCCAAAAAAGAATAGGTGCTGCTTTTAAGAAGACCTAATAGATAATAAGTATAAGTTCACCTAACAGGAGTTCTGTGCAGCTCAGGGCAGTTAAGTGGCATAGTGGATAGCGTGCCAGTCCTGGAATAAGGAAGACTCATCTTCCTGCCACATACTAGCTGTGTGACCTTGGGCAAGTAACTTAATCCTGTTTGCCTCAGTTTCCTCATCTGTAAAATGAGTTGGAGAAGGAAATGGCAAACCACTCCAGCATCTCTGCCAAGAAAACCCTGAATGGAGATGTGGAGAGTCAGACAGGACTAAAAAGACTGAACAACAACAATACCAACAAACAAGAGTTTTGGGCTTCTACATCAATGGGGCCAAGCTACCCTCTGGAAAGAATCAAAATTGGGCTAGTGAAAAGTGGTCAGATTCTGATTTTGCCACTTAATTGTTATGTGACCTTGGGTGAGTCACAACTGTTCTGGGCCTCAGTTTCCTTATCTTTAAAATGAATAGGTTGGATTAGATAACCTTTGGTGTCCCTTTCTATTCTATTTTTTTGATATGATAAACTTGAAATCATCAGATTTGGGTTTAATATTGAACTCTCTCACTTAGTAGCTTTGTGATAGTGAGCAAGTTATTTTAACTTCTATGAACCTTGGGCTTCTCATCTGAGAGTGGTCCACACTATCCATCTCACTAAATTATTATGGGGAAACCAATTTGTGGACCTTAAAGTGTTATATAAATGTGAATGATAATCCTCTAAACCCCAGCACTATTCTGGCAGAAACCACTCCCTCACCTCCCAGGTTCTCTTACAAAAACTTAGTCTCAAATACCTATGGCTTCCTTCCTTCCTTTCTTCCTTCCTTCCTTCCTTCCTTCCTTCCTTCCTTCCTTCCTTCCTTCCTTCCTTCCTTCCTTCCTTCCTTCCTTCCTTCCTTCCTTCCTTTCTTTCTTTCTTTCTTTCTTTCTTTCTTTCTTTCTTTCTTTCTTTCTTTCTTTCTTTCTTCTTTCTTTTCCTCCCTCCCTCCCTCCCTCCCTTCCTCCCTCCCTCCCTTCCTTCCTTCCTTCCTTCCTTCCTTCCTTCCTTTCTTCCTTCCTTCCTTCCTTCCTTCCTTCCTTCCTTCCTTTCTACCAGACCTGAGAAGCCGAACTGAAGAAACTCCCTATATCAATACAGATTGACACCTTTCTTACAATTTATAGTCAAAGATACCTAGAAGAGAAATTAAACGGTTGCTCAGGGCTACACAACCAGGGTGTCAGAGACTGGACTTGAACCCAAGTCCTCCAATCTCTGAGGCCAGCTTGATGTCCACTATCTCCAAGCTACCTCTTGTGTTGAATTGACTAACCTGGATGAAAATGTGAGACAAGTAGACAGATGACTGGAACTGGACTCATCTTTGATGCACTTTGGCGTATGAAGACAGGCAAGCAAAATCTGCTACACTGACATTGGTGCATCATTAAATATTTACTTGGTGCATTTTCCAAAAACCAAAGCCAACTCCTGGGCCCCATTTAAATAAGATTTCTCTACTTTCTAGCTGCATTGTCTCATTGGGTGCAGACCAATTAACCAACTGTAATTCATTCTGGTTTATACAGCTGCAAAGAAGGTGAGACTCTGCGAGTTGTATGATAAAAATCACTCAGGTCCTCAATTCCCCATCAGGCAGATGCTCAAAGTCCCTTTGTCCACTACCACACACTCACTGCTTAGATGTCTTTCGAAGTTAATGGTGAGGCCAGAAACCACCAACTTGATCCTTACCCCCAAGTCAACTTCCTGTCTTTGCAGGCAGCTGTGGTCTAATCCTCCCTCAACTCCCAGGCTTGAGCAAAACTTACTGTCCCTTCTGGAAGGAGAATCTGTAGTTCTTGGAGATGTGCTCTGGGTAATTTCCAAAGCATCTCAGCTCTGAAACAAGGGCCTTCTCCTTGAGTAGCTCTAGAAATTCCCCTCCATGGATCTCTCCTCGCACTGAGACTCCCACCAAGAAGTGACGTTTGGAGGTTCTAGATCTCAGCTCCTCCAAGGCTGACTAGCATTTGCTCCCTGCTCCTTCCCAGGGCTGCCTTCCTGCTGGCTAGAACTTCAGGTCAAAGTTACCAAATACGAGACGATAAATCAGCCCTGATCCCTGCCTGCCTCCCCTTCCCTGGGGGGGTGACGGGCTGAGGCTAGCCAACCCTGTGGCTGAGCTGCCTCCAAAAAGCAAAGTGGAGAGGGAGAAAGGTGAGAACTTAGAACTTACCTCAAAACCTTGTCGGTTCTGTGGTTCCTCTGAGGGCTCCATGTGTGCCTCCAGCTCCTCTTATAGCGTGGGGGAGCCCTTGCACAACGGCTAACCCGTCCTATCACTCTTACATAAAAATGCAAGTGACCTGGTGGAACCACTGGGCCCTCCAGGCTTCTGGCTGTCTAGTCTGAGCAAGGGGGCAGGAAGGAAATGCAGCCTCGGTGCATCCAGCCCAGGCAGGGGCATTGGAACACCTTACACACTTCCCCTTTCTGGAAGCCCCCAAAGTTTTGTATGGATGGAGGGTGGAGACGATTGACTGGGTGACTCTGGCTCCCACAAAAATTGCCTGCAGGGACCTCTGCTTTCTAAGACCCAGCTTGGGCCCAAGGGTGGAGGGGAGAACAGGTTCATAGAATTTTTGTCCAATCCAGTCCCATCATTTTCATAGGAAGAAACAGTGAACCTCACAGAGATGAAGTGGCTTATCCGAGGTGGCACAGCTAGTGATTTGAAAGGCCATGAATGGAACCCAGGTCTCCCAACTTCTCAGGCTAATTCACATTTAACAAAAATTGTGGAAGCGCCTAAAATGCCTCAGTAAGCAAGGCACTGGGTATGCAAAGATGAAAAACAACAGTCCCCAATTTCAAGGAGATTACAATAGAGAAGGGGGATATTCTATCCTGGCCTTCTTCACCATTTTTTCCCCCTCCAGAAGTCTTTGTTAAGTGCAAAGTTTTCTGGCCTTTGGAATGAAGAAGACTTCAAAGAATCCTTCCTGACTGCGTGACCCTTAGCAAATCATTCAGCTTTCTGGACTTCAACACTCCCATCTATAAAATGGGGCTAATAATACATGACATTGCAGGCTTTTTGTGAAATTGCTTAAAGGTTTACAAATCTTAAAGTGCTTTATAAACATTATCAGTGTTGTTATTTCTTCGGTGGGTATAGGGGGTCAGTGAGACAGAGACACAGACATTAGCCAGGGGATCCCTCTCACAGTGGGCTGGTAATTAAGTGGTGTGGTGAATAGAAAGATGGACTTAAACTTATTTCAAATCCCTTCTCAGACACTTACTAGCTATATGGCTCTGGGTAAGTCTCTTTGTCTCTGACTGCTTCAGTTTCCTTTTCTGTAAAATAAGGGTATTGAACTTGATGACCTTTAAGGTCCTTTCCAGCTCTAAATCTGTGCCATTGGAAAACGTGGTTAGGAGTTTCTTGGGGTACTTCTTCCTATCAGGGTCACTGAGAATTCATGGAGTGTCCCAGTTCCACCAGATCTGGGGACAGCTACATCATTTTCGGACAACCTTTCCTGGGTTTTTTGAGGATGTGCGCTGACCTGCGATCTCTCCTTGGCGAGCTTTATCTCCCGGGGCTGTCCAGGCCATTGTTGGGCTGGGAAGACAGGTGATGCTTTCCCCTGCCTTCGACAAACTGAACTTTCCACTCAGCTAGGACCTAAAGGACACTCAGCATCAGCTCTGAGCATAGCGGCAGCGAGGCCTTCGGATGCTCTTAGCACTTGCAGTTTTTCTATCTGGTCCTTTTCAGCTTTGCTCTTTTATGTACCGACCCACATACTCCACTAGGAGCAGAACTTTAAATAGAGGACAAAGCTTCAACTAGCTTTTCCATGTGTATTAACTATTCGTTTTCATGTCATCTTCTCCTCCTGGGTCATGCATTAGTGAAAGTTCAGAAAGATATAGTCTAATAGTAGTTTTCATGAAACATAATCATGGCAGCTTTATTTATTATATTTATAACCATAGCCTTGTTTTTATTTACTTTTAAATTGTTAGCTTTAACTTTCAAAAATCAGTTTATGGTTTATTTAGTATCTAGGTTTGTTGCCAACAATCAAATAGTACACCGAACGGGAGGGTGCAAAATAAATTAGAGATGTGGGTCAGGCGGATCAGTAAGGACTGACTCAGTTTATTCGTCTGAGGGTACAGGTTATATAGAGAAAATATAGCCTAGCTGCAAAGAGTCATCCCCGTGAGGCACTCCCTGAATATCTGCTGATAAGTGACAATACCCATTTTCTGGTAATCAGAGTTCCCAGATTGGAATGTAAAACTCCAAGACTTTTCCCTGACACCGAGGCCCACCTGCATAGAGGGGTGATATGTAAATCTAAGGTTCAGAGAATGAGAAGGAATGTCTCCGGAACCTCCCTTGCGGGGGGGAGATGTGGACAGCCCTGCCTCCTAAATGATTGAACCCCGTGGGTTAAGCCTGGGCAAAGGTCAAGCTTTGTCCTGGACCTTAAACCCATATAGGACCCTTAAAGCCGGCCCTCTACATAGGTTAGTGTGATAACTTGAATTAGTTGCATTGTATATAATGTTTACATCATATGGAAACTTACAAGTACTTTTATGAACACACACACAACAACATCCATATTTTGGTAATATTTTATTTTTCCATACTTACATGTAAAAACAATTTTCAGTATTCATTTAAAATTTTTTTGAGTTCCAATTTTCCCCTCTCCCTCCCCTGCTCTCTCTCTGAAATGGTAAGCAATTTGATATCGGTTATACAGGCAACATATATGTATGTTTATATATACATACACACATATACATATACACATACACACACATGTATATATATATAACACAACACAAGGTCCTCTTGGAAAGTTAGGTATGGGAATATTCCCATAGCGGGGAGCATAAATATAATCTATCAGCAGAGTTGCTATATGGGGTCTTATGACAAAGAACCAGATAACCTCTAACAAAATAAGCGAGTACAGAGATTGTTCTGGACAGAAGGTTGTCTGCAGTACATACAAGGAAGGCAATGGCATGGGGTGTTGGATTGGTTTTGCGCTAGCCACCTAATGACTGTACAGGTCAAGTAGCATCCAGCATCTGTATGCAAACAATAGAGTCTAACAAATGGAAGGAACCAATTTCCCATTTCCCATTTCCAACTTTAGGAGGCAATTAGAGTGTGATCACAAGTTTTATATTTCTGTTTTATAGCTGATCTTCATGATAATTAATCAGAACAAGGATTTGACCTACTTGAAAAATTTATCATACATACTACTTTAGTTATTGCTATGTTCTCTAGATTGTAAAGGGGCAAAATGTTGAAATGCTTTAAAATTGCAGCTTCTTGAGTCCGCCTGCTTTCTTCTTTAAAGGGTCCTCCTCCTCAGGTGTTAGGTTTACCTTCAGAACATCTGAAATGCCAGACATACGGGACACTGGGAAAGGTATCACCCTTTATAGGCCAATGATCATGGTGAAAACTGGATGTTCCTTATAGTACATAGATATAATAATGGAAATACAGTTGTGCTGTAAGGAATGAGGAGAGAGGTAATTTCAGAGAAACCTGGTAATATTTGTACGAATTGATGAGAGTGAGTGAGCAGAACCAGGAGGATGACAGCATAGTTAAAATTAACAACTTTGAAAGACTTAAGGATTCTGATAAGTGCAGTGGCCAAACATAATTCCAGAGGACTGATACTTAAACACATTATGCATCTTCTGAAAGAGAGGAGATAGGCTTAAGAGGCAGGATAAGACATAGATTTTATGACATGGCCCATGTGGACATTTGTTTTTCTTGACTATCTATGACAAGGCTCTTGTTTTTTCACAGGGAGGCAGGAGTGGGGGAAGGAAGGAAACGAAAGGGAGAAAAAATAAATTTTTTGTTAACTAAAAAAAAGTAAAATAAGATAAAATTTCTGTATTAAAAAATAAGAAATCAGATGCACCCTCGTAAGATTCTTCATCGTACTTTTTTCTAATTGTGCTATAGACAAGCCAGTGGCCCAGAAAGCACAGGCCTTTATCTTGATCATACCATAAACACTTTAACCACTTTTTTAATAAATCTGAGTCAGGATTCTTTAGAGAAGCAACAGAAATATTTGTGCCACTCTATCTAAACACGCAAGAGTCTCATTGTTTCCCAAAAGCATACCCACTGTAGCTTGAAGAGTAGATGCCACTCCCCCCATTAAATAACAGAAAGAGGCAGAATCTATATTGCAACTATAACATGGGCTGGGTAAAAGCTATTTAGCTTCCAAGCTATGTGTGTCAAAACATCTACAGAATTGGAAACAATAAGCAGCTTGCAGATGACAACGCTGGGAATGATGAATTTAAAAATGTTTACATTAGCTGCAACAAATTAGTACTACTTTTCCCCTCCTGCTGATGTGGGTCTGCTGTGACAGCGATCAGCTTTGAATCTACAGTTACACTGTAGTCTTTGGCAAAAACAATCTTTGGCATTCTAAGGAAAAGGCTGCCATATTGGAAGTCCTTCATTCTTCTCTTTCCTTTGTCTTCTACGACATCAACAAAGGCAAGTTCATCGTCCAAACCCTTTGTTAAGATACTGATGGCACATGCCATGCCTCCTGCATCAACCCCAGTAACAGAGATTTTCTGGGGAATATAGTCTTCCCTTAGGAAGACTTGGCCTTAGCCAAGATTAGCTCACCCCTGTTTTGAGCCTGGAGGAAATCTGAACTTGAACCAATGAAGTGGTTGGTGAGGCTTTGAGTCTTTTCTGAGATGTGATATTGCTGCTATGGGACTCCCTTTGTAACAAAGATTTTTAAGACTCCACCAAAACCAACCAATATATCAATCACATCTGATAGTCTATACCAGGTATTGGCAAAC